TTTTTTTTCATTTTATAGTGTTTTCTCACAAACTCATAACTCCTTTTTGTCCATTAGCGCGGCATGTTTTGATTAAAGGATGTTGAGATGAATCCCAGTCCACAGTTTGGTCATCGGGGTGAGAGCTTGGCTGCAGACTGAGCTCCAGGGAGGAGCTATGTACAAAGAGGTRGGGCTTTGTACCAGCAAGCGTTTAGGCAGCTTCACTAACCCTGTGGGATTCAATGATTTGTATGGATTTGGGTATGTTTTTAAGATAACATAAACCTTTTTTGTCATCGCATTGTCCTTTTTGAAGAGGTAATTACATTATAACATGATGTAAAGCTCAAAAAAGTCAATTACACATAATACCCCGCACCCTCTTTAAAGAAATTTCTAAAGAGGACAACTGTGGAGAACAACAATGAGCTGATGTTTTCCTGACTTGCCAGTAGATTTTTGGAAAGATTTTTCTATTCATATTTGAAAGATTTGCTTGAACCTCATATGTTAACAAAGGTTTTATTTACTTTGTAAACAGTTCCTCTGAGCACCACTAGATGGAGCTAAAGTACCACCTGGAGGTCCCAGGGAGCACAGGGCGACCCATAGCCCTGTCTGCTCAGAGGTTGTAAAATATCAATTTATTGTTTGTATAAAAACCACCAAAACAAGTCAATGTTAATAATTTAAACTCTGTATAAATTGGTTCTTTTTCTTTTCATTTTCCAAATAAAGGTACGTGACTATTCACTTTATTCTTTTTTAATTTTGATAAACAGATAAAGTAAAGAAACAGATAAAGATTAAACACAGTTTTGGGAGAGGTGGAGTAGCAAGGGATGTGTTGGGGGTTCAGCTGGCATGAAAGTAAGAAAGTGGGGCTTTGTGGAAAATAGACTGGGAACCACTGCCCTTGAATATATTTGATTTTAACACTTTTTAAACTATCAACTCTTATAGCTATACAATTTGACTAATTTGAGCTTTTGTTTTGCCAAAATTAGCTTTTAACTGCTCTTTTGCTCATTTAAGCTCATGTTCTGCTTATTTTAATTTGAACTTGAAGTCATTCAGTGCTCAGTGTATACATTTGATGTATTCACAAATTAGAATACTAGAAATGCATTTARGTTTGTTGGCTCTTTATCAGAACACATTTAATGTTTAGCAGCTCTTAAAGCCTTTTGATTAACAAGATAGCCTGTAAATAATTTAAACACCAAAAACAATGTTTGCAGGCAAGTCTTTGAGTTCAAAACAATCACTAATAAACTGCTCATGTGTTTTAAGTGTCGTGATTATCTTTGTTATCAGATGAAGTCACTGATAAGGCTCACTGGGATGTCTGTGTCTGTGGGAGAAAGTCTCTCTCTTTTTTTTTTACTTTCTTTCTGAACCATCCTTATCAGCCCCATCAGGTTTGGGATGGACTGACGCATTCAGCAGCCTTTGTTCACTTTACAGTAAGAGCTGACAAGACCGCCGTTTCATTACTCCRGACTCAAGGTTACAGCCTTGAGAGGAGGGTTGAACATTGATTGGAGAATCAAATCATCTGATGTTATCTTCAGTGTCTTCATCGTGGATGTGACACCCTCCAAACAGTGAAACTGCAAACCGATCCCACAGGATGTTCTGTTCCTTTTTAAACAAAAACGGTAGAAAAATAAAACTGTTTCAGTATATTCAAGTAAACAGGAGGTTTGGTTCAGCTGTAACCCCACTGCCATGACCTGCTCTGATTAGTTTTGCCCAACTCAACCTGTCTGTGGCTCAACAGCACCACCTGCAGGGTAAAAAAAAAGTTGCTCAGAAGTCTGCAGCATTCATTTATGAGAATTATCTAAACCAGTGGTTCCCAAACTTTTGATCTTCTGACCCACAAAATATCCATGGCAAAAACTTGTGACCCCAAATATTACTGGTCTGAGTACACAAACTTCGTTAATAACCCTAAAAACACAGGCTTTTTGACAATCTAAACAGCTTGTACACAAATATAAATACTTATTTATACTTATTTTGTGTTTTTGTAGTAATTATAGGGAAAATATTACATCAGCAATTATTTTTATTACCCTTTAAATTGATTTCTGGAGATTATCCAAAGTGCTTCATGACCCATAATTGGGTCCCAAGCTCAACTTTGGGAACCAAAGTGCAGTGGTTCCCAAACTTTTCAGCTTTTGACCCACAACATAACAGTAACAGAGACCTGTGCCTCCAGATATTTTTGGATGATAAACATTTGTATCAGGTCAACAAAACATGGACATAGTAACAATATTTTTTATACACATTTATCCATTTTAAATACACTAACCTCACTCCTTTGTAACAACTAAGGCAAAAATGTCATTAATTCAGAAAATCTTGTCAGGACCCCACCTTGATGTTTCAGGACCCCACTTTGGGTCCCGACCCCAACTTTGGGAAACACTGATCTAAACAAACCCATTCCAAATAAAGTGGGAAGCCTTACACCAGTGGTCCCCAAACTACGGCCCGCGGGCTGGATCCGGCCCGCCTCCCCATTTGGTCCGGCCCCCAGAACAATACCAGAGAGCATTTAGTTTTTTTTTTTTCATATATGTGCATTTATATTTGATTATAAAGTTGGACTTTTGCAATAAAATGTTCCTTAGTTATGAACTATTTTCATTATTAACTATTATTATTTAGTAACTATTTTTGACATACATGCATATAACGTGACATTCTGTTCCACCCTTCTGCGGTCTGTGCCCCTATCTGGCAGCCCCCAGAAAAAAATCCTAAACCCGCCCCTCTCAAAGAGAGAGTGGAATAATGGTGAAAAGATTAGGTAAGAGAAAAATTGATTCAGAATGCAGGACATTTAAGCTGCAGTGGACAAACGATTATTTTTTGTTCATCTGTCAAGAGGCGGTGGCGGTATTCAAAGAATACAATCTGCGGCGTCACTATGAATCCCGTCACAAAGACAAGTATGATAGCTTGCAAGGCCAAATGTGAGCAAACAAACTCTCAAAGCTAAAAAGTGGACTGTTAGCTCAGCAGAATACAAACTGTGAAGAACCCAGAGAGAGTTATTTGATTGTGCTTTCTGGAAAACAATAAGTTTTTACATTTAGGCACTCCTGCAATAGTCACACTTTTTCTGTTACAAACTGACTCCGGCCCCCCACCAGAGAAGGGAAAAGTTATGTGGCCCTTACAGGAAAAAGTTTGGGGACCCCTGCCTTACACCTTTGCTTTAGCCACTGACGCACAGAGCAAGACCACCAAACAGGAAGAACCTCCATCAAAATTCTGCCCTTAATTCCAGGAAGTTCTATGGAGTCGCTSACAGCAGACGTSTTCTGTTATCAGTGCACCACAACTRTCAGCACAGTGCAGGTTTCTGAAATGACATTTACGCAGTGTCGCAAATGCTTTGTCATCTAAACTGTTCTGGAATTTACTGTAAAGATCAAATACAGAAATACTTGCTTATACGAAGGAAATGACTAGAATATGAACAGTGTTGGGTTTATGCTGACTGCAATAAAGTTTAAAAAAGATTCTTCTTCTTGGTTGAATGTTTAAAACGTTTGTAAGTAAGTGACTGGTTCTAAACTGCCACATATTATTTTAAATGTTTTGCGTCTTTCCAGATAGGCAGCCTCCCTGGGACAAGTCATTCTGCTGGTTTGACAAAAGCTTACTGTAAGTTGTGTCATTGAGCTGGCGTGTTTTAGCTACACAAACCTTTGTAGGATCAAAACTTTTCAGGTTTCCAACAAAACAGTAAAAGCTATAGAACTGTTTTAGTTTGCTGCTCATTAAAGCATTTATTAACTTTTTTTCAAATTGTTCCTTTAATTTAGATGACTTTGGCTTAAAGAAACAGCTTTCAACTTTCTGGGTTTTCTTAATAGTTTGTTCAAACTCTTATGTTTGTGAATGAGTGTGTCACACAAATGTTTAWCTTTGCCCATGCCAGACTATGTACCGCTTCCAAAAGTCATTATTAATCAAGTCATTCATTTTGATATTTTTTTCAAAGTTATTGGGCATAAAATAAATATGGTGGGTTAGAAAGATTGCTGAATGTTCTTACATTGCCTCCCTTAATAACTGTTACTTTATTTCATTAACATGCAGTTATTAAAGTGAATTTTTTTAGGACTTACAATTCCCCAATAGACTAGTATATTTCAGTTTTTTCTTGTGTAGTTTACTCTAAATTAAACAATTTTCTTAATAAACTGTCACTTGCACTACGGTGGCCTGGGGGTGCAATTACTGGAGACGAAATAGTTTTACGTCAGACTGATTATAAACATCTTATACCTTTCCCGTTAAAAAAAACTCAGCTTCGTTGTTCACGTGTTTTTAGCCGTGTGTGTTTCCCTTCCCAATATGGCGGACACGTTGCCGTGAAGACAAGTCGCGCCTCAGGGGCGGGCCCTCCAACACTGGGCCGGCCTTTCCGGAAGCGCATGCGCTCTACTGACGGCAGCGTTGCCAGATAAACAAWAATTATCGTAAGTATACGATGATTTTCGTGTCTATGCGATATTTTTAAGGCCAAATAATATACATTGGTTTCTTTTGGGTACGTAGCCTATCCCCACCGTCTGATAACAAAGCGCACATTCACTTACCACGGTTAGTCTGGGTGAATGTACGAGGCTTTTAAATCGACAGTACGATTTTTCGTCGTTTTTTTTTCAAATTTGGCAACCCATGTCAGTGAGTGGGCGTAAAAGCCGTCATTCTCTTTCCTCCTCCTTACCTCAAATCCGACCTCACGTTGCACTGTTCCCGAAAGTAGAGCCTGTACAATTCGTGAAATAACCTGGATACGGTCGGCTGACAAAATCAGGAACGACATCAACCTCAAAATGACAGAAAGCTCTACAGCYAAGCTGCTAAACGGAGATGCCTGTCGCCGGACTACAAATGGGAAAAACCAAGCGAGTAAAAATGGCTACGTGAAGAACCACTGCCTGTTCCAACAGTCACAGAAGTATAGCCGCCTCGAGAAGGTAAGGCCAAGTCGTCCCAGTGTTTGAGCGGAGTTTAAGTTAAAGTAAATGAATGGATACATTTTAAAACAGTTTAGGATTTTTATTTCCCGTTTATACCGCGGCTAAAATTCTTGTGTGGGAGTGGTTTTCCTGAGCAGGCTGTGGAAAGCAGAGGCGCGGCTGTGAATCMATGAATAAAAGCGTTATTTTGTTTACAAGCTGTTATAGCGGTGCTATTTGTGTATGTTTCTGAGGGTCTTTGTCCTCCATGTTGGTTTATGAAACACAACCCAAATACTTTTATTTAGATAATTTGTGATAACTTAATTTTTTATTACATAAACAATTATTTAAATGCTATTTTTCTACTTTTAACTTCGCCTGAGTGACCTAAAGGTCACCCTTGTTACTCGTCATTTGTGACCAAGAAACCCGATCAGTCAGGGTTGGTTGTAGTCGTGACTTTGTTTTTCCTGTAACTTTACACCGTGCTGTTTCCAGCTCTGTGTGCATGTTGGAGTTGGACAGGTTTGTTTACTGACTCTTGTGTGTGGGGGAAAAAGGACCAATGAGCAGTTGTGCTAGCTAAAGGAGGTGTCTGTTCCCATGGAGAGGAGGGGCATTCACGTGCCAGATTCATGGGGACATTAGGCTTTAGGTGTGGTCCATTTTTAAGGCTAGATTTAAAATTATAGTAATAAATATGTGTGTATTTAAGAGGTGGGTAAGGAGATGCCATGTTTGTTTATGTCCTGATGCATCTCAGTAATCCAGGTAAAAAATCAAAAAGAAAAAAATTGTATAGGTCTTCTGGACGGGTTCTTCTCTAATGAAACGTTTCGTCTCTCCTCCAAGAGACTTCTTCAGTCTGAGAGTTTCAGGCAAAATTCAGGCTTTTAAGCCCTGCCTCCGTGTGACTGATACTCGCATCACATGGCTATCTTTGACACCTAATTAACACTTATTGTTAACAGGGGGTGGAGTGATACTGGCAATAGCCGCGCTGTAGGAGGAGGATAACTGAAAATGGAGGCCTCCACCTCTGTTTAATGATGGACGGTCTTTCTTCACAAAAATGGCTTCTTTTACTCCTCTCAAACCAACGTTTCTCTCTATCAAGAATGAGAACATCCTCATCTCTGAAAGAGTGATCGCTGGCCTGTAAATGAGTGAAAACTGCAGAGTTCTGGCCATTAGATGTAGCTCGTCTGTGTTGGGACATTCTTTTGAACAGTGGCTGCTTTGTTTCCCCGATGTATAACTGGTCGCAGTCCTCCTGGCACTTAACAGCATATACAACATTGCTCTGTTTGTGCCGGGGAACCAGATCTTTGGGGTGAACCAGCCTTTGCCGTAGAGTGTTTTTTTAATGTTTGTTTATCCTTCTGTTTATTTCCCCCCACTTTAAATAGTAACTAAACTCCAAATTAACTTTTCTTTTGCAGATGAACTGACTATATTGGGCATTAATGGTGTTATCTTGCATTATTATTGTGTATTAAACATTCTATAGAAGATGGACAAGATTAGGAATGAGGTGATCAGATGTACAGTTAGAAAGGTCTGACTGAGATGCTTTGGACGTGTCCAGAAGATGGACAGTGCTGGTAGGTGTATTGGTAGAAGGATGTTAGAGGTGCTGACCAAGAGAAGATGGATGGATGCAGAAAGAATGGGCATAAAGGCAGTTGGTGTGAGGATGCAGAGGACCGAGTGAGATGTAGGAAGATGACTCTTAGGGGTGTCCCGATACCAGTTTTTTCAAGACTGAGTACGAGTACTTCAGTTTAGGTACTCACCGATACCGATACCAAGTAGCGGGGTTAGTGTGGATTATCTGTTCAACATGTTGAATATTAAACAGAATGAAAATGAAATGCAATTATCATAGAAAAACTGATGGGCAAATATTATGTTTGACAATAAAAAGGTAGTGCAAACTCTGACAAGTAGATAAGTTAGTATATATATATATCACACCATAACTTTTGAAACCATTTATTTTATTTCAAACAGGCTCTTTTTTATAAGGCCACACTCCCTCTGAATGTATTAACAATGCAAATACTGCAAAACAAATGCGGTTGCATACATTAAAAAACAAAATAAGTTTTTTTTACATTTTCCTTAACATGCAACTACAAAATTTAAATTAAAATGTAAACTATAACATAAATTTTAGCAGCACATCTATAGAAGTTTACTCTGCTTCAGTCTTAAACTGTTAACAACAACAACAAAAAAAGACTAACAGTAATGAAGTGCAGTAAATTTCAGTTCAAACTTAAATGGAACAACTAAAACAAAATCTCAGAAGAACCAGAGGAAAAAATAAAATGTTTTTACAACAAACTTCCTTCCATATTCTGCTTATGTCTTAGTTTGTTCTACAAGAAAGAAAAAACAGCATTGAAGTTACTGCAACAACAGTGCTGTTTATGAAGGCTACTGCTAGCAGCTGCAAACTCTTTGAATTCTTTGTCATGTCTTGTCCTCAAATGTTTAATCAAATTGCTGCTGTTAAAACATCCAACTTTCACTCCTCCCCTCAGTTTAGCAGAGCACAGCAGACAGTCTGCTTGTTTGGTGTCCTCCGTGCCGATCTTAAAATATCTCCAATCTGCTGATATGTTACTTCTTCTTCTACCGTCATCGTTCTTCTTCTGTTATTCGGGGGTGCGGTCTGAAATAACTTGTCAGTGCATTAGCGCCCCCGCCTGGTATGGATTGTTGTTTACCCTTTGTGCTGYAGCGCAGCACAGGAGGGGACAAAAGCGGTATCGGTTAAGAGTATCGGCCAGCTTTTACGAGTATGAGTACTTGATGCTGGTATCGGACCCGATACGGGACACCCCTAATGACTCTCTTTGGTGACCCTTGAAGGGGGAACAGCCAAAAGAAGATGATGAAAGAGAATGTCACATTGTAAAACTTTGAGTTGGATTAACAGTAGTTTTAAAAACCAAATGATATGTTTAGTTGGTGCTAACGTTACCAGAAGTTAAAAACAAAACTTCACTTCTTATCACAACAAACACAGCCAAAAGACAATGCTGAAAAATTCTAATGTACAAAGTAAGAATTTATTCTTTGATCTATTTTGTTTGAGTCATAAATTAACAAAACGTGTGTCTCGTGGTTTAATTTACCAATATCGGAGGGTTCGCCTAAACTGGTATTTTGTACATTATTTTTGACATTACATTTCATCATTAGCTACGTTTACATGGACATAAGTAATCGGATTAAACGGTCATTCGGAATAAAAATGTGTCATGTAAACAGCCCGTTCGGATTATTCTGATCCGATTGAGCTCGATCCAAATGAATTTTCAATCCGAATGAAAGGGGTGGGTTATGCCAATTTGATAATCGGAATGACGTGCATGTAAACACTTAATCTGATCATTTTATTCTGATTGTGGAAAACTGACCTGAGTGCATGTCTGCTGACTTTCATTGACCTGGTTCTGCTCTAGAAGAGGTGGGACAGCAGCGCTCCAGCTGCGCAGCACCATGCAGAACTTTTCCTCCTCGCTCTCTTAACAGATGAAAAAGGAGGCAAACAGCAGACGTTGCTTCGCAAAAAAAAAAAAAAAAAACACGTATTGCTTCATCTGCAGCTCAACCGAGGAGTAACAACATCTCTAGCATTAATAAAAACTGACACGGGTCCGTCCTGAGCGCACAGAGGAGCTTTGTTTACGCTGTAACACGGAAGTAGAGCTGAAAGTTTACAACACTGCGCATGTAAACACTTCGTGATCGGATTGTGTCCATGTAAACAGTACATTTGGATTATTTAATCCGAATACATTTCAATCCGATCAAAAAATTTTGTGCATGTAAACATAGCTACTGTTGTGTAGAGCTGCCACAAATGACTATTTTTATGGTCGATTAATCACCAATTATTTATTCGATTAGTCGACTAATCAGATCATACATTAATTGAATATAAAACATACAGCTTATCATGCCAGAATGCAGCTGCTATTATATAACCATTGTTAGATTTTAGCTATATGCTAGCCAAAAATAATTGCTGTGAAGGCTAGTTCTGCCTTACAGATATTACACAGATTTCTCTTTCATTTTCTTAAAATTATCCCACACTTTTGAGCTCCGTTACCAGGTAGCCATGATACCAGAGCCTGTCTGTRTAATGTCTTGTGACGTCCACAGCCTACCCTGGTTCCGCTACTGCGCTGTGTCAAGGACAGAAAGGTGTCAAAGCAGTTTGGAGAGAAAAACAAAGTAAAGAACAAAAAGACTAATCGACTATTAAATTCGTCATCAACTATTTAAATAGTCGATTAGTCGTTGACTGATCACGGCAGCCCTACTGTTGTGGTACGAGCTGGGCGGTCTTTTAGCAAACCAGCTTGGATCATTTTCTACCTAGATAGATGATAGTTTTTTGGGGGTCAGTAGCTGTTGTGTGTTGTTTTCACAAACTTTGCTCCCTGTTTGTCTGTAACGTAAACTTAAACTTGCCTAAATTTCATAAGTGGCGTAGGTTGTGACCACAGTTCCTTTATGAAACCAGAGAAGGACGTATACAAGATGAATTGCACAGGCTTGGATAGAAGGTGGTGCAGCTGTTGAACATCCAGCAYGACTATCATTATAGTTCTGTCACAATAGTTGTGTAATTCTAAAATGATGACGGTGCAAAGGAGAGTATGTACTGCTATGTGGTTTGCAATTTTTGTGTTAGCTTAGAACAACAAAAAGGCTATGAGATGTTACAGCTTCAGCAGCCGTTGTTT